GGCAACTAAAAGATGTGTCTATCTCATTTTGATGTTTCTCTCTCTGCCTCTCCCCCTCACTTTCATTCTCTCTAAAAAATCAATGGTACAGCCCTAACCGGTTTGGCTCAGTGGATAGAGCGTCAGCCTGCGGACTGAAGGGTCCCAGGTTCGATTCCAGTCAATGGCATGTACCTTGGTTGCTGGCACATCCCCAGTGGGGGGTGTGCAGGAGGCAGCTGATAGATGTTTCTGTCTCATCGATGTTTCTAACTCTCTATCCCTCTCCCTTCCTCCCTGTAAAAAATCAAAATATTAAAAAAGAAGCCAATAAGAGAAAGACAAGTATCACATGATCTCACTCATATATGGACTCTAATGAACAAAATAAATTGATGAACAAAATAGATCCAAAAACATAGAAGCAAAGAAGAGACTGTCAAATCTGAGAGGAAAGTTGGGTTGGCAGGTGGGTGGGAAGAGATTATAAACCTGTGTTGGCTCAAGAGATAGTGAAACATATGATTCAAAAACTTTAAGTCGCCCTGACCGGTTTGGCTCAGTGGATAGAGCGTTGGCCTGAGGATTAAGAGGTCCTGGGTTCGATTCCGGTCAGGGGCATGTACCTTGGTTGCAGGCACATCCCTGGTGGGAGGTGTGCGAGAGGCAGCTGATTGATGTTTCTCTCCCATCAATGTTTCTAACTCTTTATCCCTTTCCCTTCCTCTCTGTAAAAATCAATAAAATATATTTTTTAAAAAGCAAACTTTAAGTCTACAGAGAGATTAATATCTTTACATCTAACTCAAATGCTGAAGGATAGCTGATGGAAACAAGAAAAGCATTCTGAGGAGAAGAGGAAGCATTTAGGCCAAGACCCATGTCTCTGAAATCACTGCTATGTAGTTATTAAGTTGAAAGAAAAGAACCAAATGCCCAAAACAGATTTTGCCACAGATGAAAGAAAACCTTGTGATCTATAACTTAGGCAGCAAGGTGAACCAAGCTTTTACACTTTGAGGGTGACTACAGTTTAGAAGCGTGCGTGTTTTCAGGACAGAGTTAGTGTCAGAGAGAATGGGATGCTGCAGTCATTACCCCAATATTCCCCTTCTGAATTTCTCTCTGCTGCTTCAATCCAACTCCACTACTCATTTGAAGGATAGGGAATAGAGAGAGCAATGTTAAAAGATTAAAAGAGAAAGAGGACTAACATTTCTCTTCTATCTCAACTAGTGCTTAAATTTTTAAGCAGGTCAGGTTGGTACTTGAGCACATAAATGGAAAACTAAATCCTTAAGGTAACAAAGGGTAGAAAGGGAGGGGACAGGGACAGGGCAAGACTCACATTATATCCAGCAATCCATGTAAGGATTGAAAACTCTGCAATGATGACAATCAGTGAAGATATGAATCAACTAAAATAACTGAGAGAGACAACCCTTCCATCTTTGGAAATATCTGTATCAAGTGTGTTTAAACAAATTTTCATCTGAATAATATAAAACATTCTGATATGATACCAAGAGTGTTGTTGTTGTTATTATTATTATTTTCCACTATAATTAGGTACTTTGACCAAAACTTAGGCAAGATTTTAAGATATATTTTCAAGGCAACCTACCTGCAACTGCATGACCACATAATTGAAGCGATCGTTCCTCCCACAGCCAATAAATTTACAAACATGGTCTTTCCCTGGAGGGGAAAAGAAAAGAAAAGAAACAGTGGGAAAAGGTTATATTATAGTTTCTCTTCTAAACAATAATAATTTTTTGTATAGAATTTTATGATTGAATATAAAGGACCTATGTTAAGAACCTTAAAGGATAGAGAATTTGTATTGTTCAAATTTTCTACACACCTCCCCCCAAATCCTACAGTGCTCCTTATGTATTCAAATAAATGGTTACTGAACGAATAAATAAACAATGAATGAGGGAACAAATGGATGATAATTTATTTAAGAAGGAAAGAATTAAGAGGTCATTTCAGATCAAACAGACCAGACATTAAATATATGAAAGTACAAAAGAGAAATAAATTAAGAACTTTATTATGAATATAAATTCTGAATTTTAGATATGGTCTGCCATTCACCATTATAAGATGTCAGTGAGTCCCTTTTCTGATCTCACTGATTTGAATGAGCTCAGTGGTTTTCAACCTGAATTCCACATGTAAAATCCAAGGAGGTACTGCCTAGGTTACAGAGGGAAGCAGAGGTGGAACAGGTAGAAATCTAGGGTCCTGGCTCTGATTCAACAAAAACAAACAAAGGTTTTAAAAGAGGATCAAGACTGGTAGGTTCCAGAGCCAGAAGAGAGCATCTGGCTGGAGCACAGAGAGAACAGGAGGAAAAACAAAAAGAGATGGCACCGAAGAAGCAGGCAGCTGTCAGACCCTGAGCAGTCCTGGACTCCATGATAAGGAATCTGAACCACATGGATAGGTCAGTGTTTTCCAACCCTGCCTGCTTAATAAAATAATTTGGGAAATGTTTAAAGAGTCCTGAACTCTGTACTGATTCAGAATCTGTGGGGGAAGATAGAGATACGAGTTTTTCAAAAGTTTTCCAAATGATCCAAAAGCAGATGGACCATGGATGAATATTTGAAAACTACTACTGGGTAATGTAATGAGAAGCATCTAAAAGATTTAAGATAAGCCGAAACCGGTTTGGCTCAGTGGATAGAGCATCAGCCTGTGGACTGAAAGGTCCCAGGTTCGATTCCGGTCAAGGGCATGTACCTGGGTTGCGGGCACATCCCCAGTAGGAGATGTGCAGGAGGCAGCTGATCGATGTTTCTCTCTCATCGATGTTTTCTAACTATCTCTCTCCCTTCCTCTCTGTAAGAAATCAATAAAATATATTTTTAAAAAAGATTTAAGATAAGGAAAAATGCACTTCAAACATTGCATTTTAGAACAATGCTATGATGGCAGTCATATCTGGGGATAGTTACAATTTCCCAAGAGAGAGAAAAAGGCTCTTTCATTGCCAGGCGCACCATGGCTCATGGGCCCAAGAAGCATCTGAAGCGTGCAGCAGCTCCAAAGCATTGGATGCTAGATAAATTGACGGGTGTGTTTGCTCCTCGGCCATCTACCGGTCCCCACACGCTGAGAGAATGTCTCTCATCATTTTCTTAAGGAACAGACTTAAGTATGCTCTAACAGGAGATGAAGAAAAGAAGATTTGCATGCAGCGGTTCATTAAGATTGATGGCAAGGTCCGAACCAATATAACCTATCCTGCTGGTTTTACGATGTCATCAGCATTGACAAGACTGGAGAGAATTTCCGCCTGATCTATGACACTAAGGGCCACTTTGCTGTTTATCGTATTACACCTGAGGAGGCCAAACAAGTTTTT